GTGTATAACTTTTGAGATTGTGTTGCAAAAGCACTAAAACTTTCTCCTTGTTCATTCTCTTTGATCTCTCACTCCGGGGTACACCAGCTGCCCTATCAGAAAAATATCTAAGCAACTCTACACAGAGGCACACTTGGCAAGGAACTGAGGCCTCTTGCCAAGCTTAGAAACGAATCCCTCAGTCCCAAAAGTGTTCAGATGACTGAAACCTGACTGACATCTTAACTGCCATCTCATCAGAAATACTGATCCAAACCATCCAGCTAGTACATTTCCGAATTCCTAACCAACAGAAATTGTGAGATAAGATGTTTTTGATTTAAGGTGCTAAGTTTTTAAAATAACCCAAAAATAGAGAAAAAATAACCAGGAGGAATTTTAAAATTTTTTTGAAGATATATATAGAAATTAAGAAAAATCCAACCTTCAGACAGAACGAGCTATTTAGCAAAGAGAGAAAAGCAGATTAAAATTGCATTTTTTATTAGTAATAGTGGAATGCAGAAGTCAACAACTACAATTTTTGGACAAGCAAAGACTGTTTATCTATACATCCTCTCTTCAAAAATAATGGAAGAAACTCTCTTGAACCACGTAATGAGTAGAGAAGCTAGAAGTTTTGAGCCACATGCTTGAAAAAGCCCACATTGCCATGAAGAGAATTACAGGTGATTCTGGTGAAGGCTCTGAAAGACAAGGGAAAGCTGTAGAGAAAGAATCAGTCTTCACACAGAATATCTGAGCAGCCCTGAACAGAATGCTAGTAGAAACATGGACAGTAAAAGCCATTCTGATAGTCTCAGACAGAAACAAGGCCCATGTCATTGAGCAGTGGAGAAAAGGCAGTCTTTGTCATAAAGTGGCAAAGAACTTGGCTGAATTGTGTTCATGTTCTAGTGTTCTGTGGAAGTTAGAATTGTGAGGCATAAAATCGGATATTTAGTTAGCTGAAGCCATTTCTAAGCGAAGTGTTAAAGGTACAACTTGGCTCCTCCTGACTGCTTATAGTAAATGTAAGAGAGAAATGACTTAAAGATAGAATTATTAAGCAAAAAGGAAGCAGAACTTAATTTAAGCATCTGAAAAATACTTGGCCTATCCATATTGCAAAAAATGATTGTTTTGGGGAGAGAACACTGAGGATATTGTCAAGTATCCCTTTAAATAAGGCGGTAAGTCCACATGTGAACCACAGACTTTAATTAGCCTCCTCTGCAGGAAGACTTCCAGTATGAACTGAAAGAAAGAATGATGGAAGGCTGCCAGATCCTTGGATATTAGAGGACTGGACCATGAGCTATTTGGCTGAGAACATATTTCTTCAAGACAAGGGAAGAATGACCCGGATGGCAATTCAGAGATCATCAGGATCATCAGGACTGCCTCTTTCATTTCAAAAGGGGTGGGGGACAGGGCACTGCCTTGCTTTCGACAAGCCAGATAGCATCTGCCAAAAGCTGTGAAGTCAGGGACTCCCAGGGTCTTTGGGGCAGGAATGCCTGGCACAACCCTAGGGACAACATCTCTGGCCGATGGAAATTCGGGGGTAGGACATCTCTGCCACTGGGTCCAGAAGGCAGCACATCAAGCCAAACAGGATTATTCTCGAGCCTAAAGATCTCACATAGTTAGCCTTGTAGTTTGGACTAACTTGAGACCTGTTGCCTCTTTCTTTTCTATTTCTCCCTAAGAGAATGGGAATGTTTATTTTGTGCCTGTCTCAACATTGTAGTTTGGAAACATATAACATGCTTGCTTTCACAGGTTCACAGAAGGAGAGGAATTAGTCTCAGGATGAACATGCCTTGAATCTCACGAGTATCTGATTTTGATGTTATTTAGATGAGACTTTGGATTCAGATGTTAAAGTTGATGCTGGAACGAGTTAAGACTTTTTGGCTTATTGGGATGAAATGAATGTATTTTACATGTGAGAAGGATATCAATTTGGGGGGGGGGATGGAGTGGAATACAATATACTAAATATTTGTGTGTCCCAAAATTTATGTGTTTAAACCTAATCCACAATGTATTTCGAGATGGAGCCTCTGAGAATGAGGTCAGAGGGCAGAGCCCTCAGGAAGGGGATTAGTGCCCTCATAAAAGAAACTTTGGGCTGTTCCTTTGCCTCTTTTGCCATATGAGGACAAGGAGAAGATGGCAAACAAGGTGTCTGTCTATGAACCAGGAAGCAAGCCCTCGCCAGACACCAAATTTACTGGAGCCTTGATTTTGAACTTCCAAGCCCCCAGAACTCTGAGAAATAATTTTCTCTGTGGTATTTTTGTTATAACGGCCTAAATGGCTTAAAACCAAAAAAAAAAAAAAAAAAAA